CATGTCATTATTGACGAAAAATAAACACGTTAAGTAGATAGTTAAATTTGGGACTTTTTTTAATTAATGATAAATTTTTCTGCAAAAAAATAATAAAACAGTTTCTATTGAACTTTTGGCACAAAAACATTTCAAATTTATGATTTCATTCTAATAACTATTTAGTCAAAATGTTAAATTTATGTCAATGATGACAGGTATTGATAATTTCGATTCCAAATATCTTGAAAATTTTTACTCATAGCGATTTTTACATTTTTTTACTCAGTAGTTTTATACAGGTACGAACGAAAAGTTATTACTCTTCAATCCAGTTAAAAAATATGTAGGTGGCGCCCTCTACTAGTAGGAAGTAAAGTCCCTAGATATATAAAGTACCGCAATTGGTTTGTTCAATGTTATTGGCGCCAAAATGGCGGATTTTTGGGGTATTTCTGGAAAAACTGTAGTGGTAGGACTGTTTAAATGTCACATTTGTCTGAATTTGTCACGTCAAATGTTCAGAGGCTGTCAATTTCAGGATAAAAATATTTATCCACATATTTTAAAATAATTATAAAGCCACTAAAATGCTACAAATTTATTAGTTAATAATGTATAGGCGTCGATATCTTTAGTGAAGAAATGTGTATTACACGAAAAGGCCGCTTGATGTGAAAAATTTGATGTGTTTTCTAATATCGTCGATATTCAATACACGTTAGGTAGTGGATTGAATTTATTTATGCTCCAGTGAATATTTTTAACAATCTTATTTGTAGTATAACCTACTGGTACATAAAACTTCATTATAGAACAAGACAAGACCACAATAGATCTGAGAAGGTCGCAGTGGGTCAGGCCGAAATCAACCTCTAGAAATCTAATCTAGAACAAGACAAAGACCTTACTTGCAAACTACCATACATATCTTTTAAAAAGGATGCTAAGTGTAAGTGAAATCTCTACGTAATCATTCCCTAAAATGTTTAGTGTAGTTTAGTTTTCAACATTTTGCAGCAAGAAGTTTAGATAAATCTACAATATATTATCATCAGACCAAACGAAGGATAATTATTTAAAAGAATAAGTTATGTTATGATACATATATAGATTTGGATGACATCGCTTCAGGTGGTTTTACCAGTCAGGACTAACAGGGATATTAATCAAAACAATGAAAAAAAGCTCAAATAAATTTGATCCTAATAACAAGAATGTTGTTTATGCATATGCTAACTATATAGTTATTTTCATGGACTTAAATAGATTAGTTTTTATGTATTTATTGATAGTAATTAATATTTTTTGGTTCATATTGTAATTACTAATAAAAAGTAAACAATATAATGTAAGCATGTAAAGTTATATTTAAAAATTTGGTTTTATACTGTCAGTTATAAATAAAAGTGTGTGATTTAAATTTGATTTTTATACATGACATAAAATTGTTAAGATTCATTTGAAGTTTTACATATTGTCGAGGTAAAATTATGCCTACTTAATTTATGTATAACAATAATTACACAATTACATACCTAAAATGCCGAAACTACCTGAAGTAATACTAATTGAAACAATCTTTCTATCAATATATTAATATATTTCAAAAATAGCAGGTATGTATCATATCAATTTAATTATTACATTTATTTGTTTCAACCATGGTTCAAAATTTTCTCGTATAAAAGCCGGCCTTCAAATTTAAGTTTGTAGCTTATTCATAGTTCCAAAGACTTTCGTTAAATCATGCTTATTTGTCAAAACTAACTACAGCATAACTGGTATAATAGGGAAAGTTTACTTATGGTATAGGTATCCCGTTCTCATCAACAAACAAAGTTTTTCCAATTGTTTCGACTGAATTAAGTACTAAAATTCTAAATGTTATTCCAACTTTATTTCTTCTTACCTATTAACTTACTTCTGTTGGCGTACTTTGCGCTAAAAGGTAACATAAAATAAATGCTAATACAAATGAAAAACACTTGTACGGAAACCATTCGTTTATAACCTCTTAACATATATAGGCCTAAAAAATTAAATTTATGAAATTGAATATTAATATACCACCTGATATTACGTTAAAATGAAGGTAAACTGTAGATAATAAACGTAATTCTATTACAATTAATAAATATTTTATTTTACGGCTTGCCTGTCAATGTTGGTCGGCCATATTGGCGCCGGACCGACCAGCTGCTTAAAAAGCCGAAACAGCGAAATGTTGGCCTCCTTTTTAAATTTGCCGCTAGTTTTGGCGCCAATATGGCGGTAATTGCGGTACTTTATATATCTAGGGACTTTAGTAGGAAGTATATTGACAACAAAATCAAACTTTTAATGTCAAAAAACTGCCTGACACCAATTTTCATCCAAATATTGACGTTACATTAGAAATTATTTGGAAAAAATTGAAATAAAAATGAAACTTCTATACCCTGTATCTCCGAAACCAAGCATTTTAGGACATATATTTATACGAACTTTTTTACTTATTTTTGTCTGCAGAATATTCTGCCGAAGTTTCCGGAATACAGTTCGGACCACCCAATAAATTAACGCAAATTAAAATTTGTAAAAAATATATAATTGTTGAATTGTTACCAAGCAAACAAGGAAATTTTAGCTTTGTACATTTGAATATTCATAATCTTGGAGCTTACGATACACACTGTAATAATATTATTGTAAAAAAACTGTCAGTAACTATCAGAGCTTCAATAAAATTGTTAATGTTTAATTTAAAATTTTATATAGTGATAAATTCCTCTTTGATGCATAGACAGAGTGCAGAGAGCATATAGTAAGTTTCCTATGATGTTCTCCATGAGTATCTCGGAAACTAATGGAGATAGAGAGTCAGTTCAATGGGGAAATAATTGCAGTTTTGGGGGGTCATAAATATGCGCCTTTCAGATTTTTGATAAAGTTCATGGCTTACTAGATATTTAAAAAAAAACTAATTTTGGCTATTTTAAAAATTGTCCCTAATTCCATTATAAGCTATTTTAGACAAAAAAATTTCAGATAAAAGTTGTAGATAATCACATCCTTAATGAGATTGTGTCCTCCGTTTTTTTCTAAAGCCTGTCATTTTTGACATATGACACAAACATGCTTTTTTAAATGGAAATCATAGTTGACTATGACTTCATAAAAAGCGCAACTTTTTAAGCTTTTCAGCGATATAAGCTATAATATGTTTTCTTCGAAAAATTACTGAGTTATATTCAATTCATATCATTTTAAAAAAAAAATCTTGCCAATGGAAAAAGCCATGGAAACAAGTTTAATCGTCTTTGCTCTCAGAAATGTGAAGCTGTCACATCCAAATTTTATAAATTAAAATAAACAAAAATTGTAAATATGTATTTTTCAAATGAAAAAAGGCGTGTAGGATTATTGGTTCAACTTTTCTTGACCATACATTTTTGAGGATACGTTGACCGGCGAATGTTACGTTTTTTAAAGAACGGTTTTCAAGACATGTTAGAAAAGTTAAATTTAGTTATAGCCAATTCTTATCTTTCTTGACTAATTTCACTTAAATTGCATGGTATTTTTATTCTGTTATGATTTATAACTTATAAAAAGTCAGAATATATTACTAAACGGTTCTTTACAATTTACATTACACAAACTAAAACATAAAAAAATAATATCACTAGATACACTTTAAGTTATTTTAAAAAATGTTCAAAAAATCCGCCATTGTTTTGAGTTGCATCTTTTTAAAACTGAATTACTACCTATTCTCACATAAGGACTGGTCGACTTAATTAAACTTCTCTCGTACCGCCACTTCGAGTGCCTCTCTTAATTCATAGATTTTTTTGTAAACCTTATTGTTAACCATACCTTGTTAACCATACCGCATAAAAAAAAATTAAAATGGATAGGTCAGGTGATCGAAGGAGGCCCATGCAATTGGTCCACCTCTTTCTATCCCTGAGTATGCATAATTATGATATAAATAATTTTTACGTTTCTTTCATTATGGGGGTCATAATGAAAGTCACGTTGGAACCACTCTATTGATGCGCGAGTATATACACGCTTTTCTTCATTTGAAAAATTCATATTTACAATTTTTGTTTATTTTAATTTATAAAGTTTGGATGTGACAGCTTCACATTTCTGAAAGCAACAGCGTTTGAACTTGTTTCCATGGCTAACTAAGTGAAATTGTTTAAAAATGATAAGACTTGGCTATAACTCAGTAATTTTTTGAAGAAAACATATTATAGTTTATATCGCTGGAAAGCTTAAAAAATCGCGCTTTTTATGAAGTTATGGCCAACTATGGTTTCCATTAAAAAAAACATACGTTTGTGTCATATGTCAAAAATGACAGGCTTTAGAAAAAAACGAAGGACACAATCTCATTAAGGATGTGATTATCTACAACTTTTATCTGAAAACTTTTTGTCTAAAATACCTTATAATGGAATTAGGGACAATTTTTAAAATAGCCAAAATTTGTTTTTTTCGAAATATCTAGTAAGCCATGAACTTTTTCAAAAATCTGAAAGGCGCATATTTATGACCCCACAAAACTGCAATTCTTTCCTCATTTAACCGACTCTCTATCCCCAGTAGTTTCCGAGATACCCAGAGAACATCGTCGGAAACTCACCCTGTAGATATACAAATAATATATTCTGATTCATAATATATTCAATTAAAATATGGTTATTATTTAAATTTGTGTTTTCAACACATATTTATTAGTGCTGAAATAATTTTGATGTATAGTCGATTATTTGTAATTATTCGATAAATTATCCAAGGTAGAATTATAAAAATGTTTATTGTTTAATACTATTATTTTTAGGATAAGAAAATAAAGCAGACTGTGTCTTCTGTCTTATCCGCTCCTAATTTGATCTATCGAAATATTTCCCTACTCGTTAGACTGATGTAACTAAATATCCATATACTGAAACTTACATTGTAACTATTTATAAATTTCTTGGTGTTTTGCTTAACATGTTAAAGAAATATCTAGATTTTCTTACCTCTGATGAAACATTTCTCAAAATATCTTGGTAATCCATTTGCTCCATATAATCCAGTAAAGTCAAACTGGAATTAATATCACTATAACTCATTTCAGAAAGTAAATATTACTCTATTTATTTTACACTCTCTAGTTATTAAATCACTTTAATATCTTCTTTCTTCTATTTACATAACAGCTGCCTTTTAGATTTAGATAGCAATTTTTCTGTATCTCAGTTTTTAATTTCGTCATGTTCATATCCGGTTATTTTGAAGGAGACTTTGTTTGTCCACCTGAAACAGAAACAAAAATATACATACAATTAATTATAAAATCAATGTAGTATTCATGCTATGCTATAAATACAGTAAATTTTACAATTAAAAACGTACTAATTTTAATACTTCTTAAATGAAAACTAGAGGGGTATTTTTCTACCTTTATAATAATTGATTAAAACTTATTAGTAACTTTTCCTGGAAATGGTAACATAGTTAGCGAATTTCGAAATATTTGAGTTTAGAGTATAAAATAGTGTTTTATTTTGACCACAGCTTCTTTGCTACAAGCTGGTCATCTTGAGATAGAGCTCAGAAACCGTTTTGTTGTATAAGGCAAGCGAATATCTAGGTAATAAGGTAAAATTATATTATACATTAATAAACATAACATAAGTAAAAATTAAAAAGAAATAAAAACAAAATAATAATACCGACAGTTTGAAGCTTTTTGGTTTTAGCTCATTATATAATTGTTTTCAAGTAGTAATTATTAATTTTGGAGTTTAAACTGATATAATGTCATTTTAACAGAACGTCAACGGTTTTTATAGATACATCTGCTGAAAAAAAACTAAGGGGTTTATGAATTGTATTTAAATATTTTGAATAGTTTTTTATTTGTTTTTTTTTACTTCCGAAGACGGGAAGAGATATACTTCCCGAAACGTTAAGCATTTTTTGTCCGTTATGTAAATTTGTTTATTAGTAAATCACTGCTGACAAATTAGTCTCCGTTGGATTAACGCAGCATTTTCTTCAGTGGCAAAATACCCATAGAACTTTTTTGAGATGAATCCGAGAGGTATAAAGTTTTTTAATATCTAGGTAGTAACGCAGATTTTCATGCAAATAGAAGAAGTAATGAAGTAATGCCTATAACAAGTAATGAGCGAGACTACTCTTGGTCTAAGAAATGGTCTAAAAATGGTCTAAAGAGCAAGACCAAGAATAAAACCAAGACTAGAATTTTATCTGTAAGATTAAATCCAAGACAGACAGGTGCCAGACAAGTCTAAGACAGCCGCTACACTATCCCCGGAATGTTTTACGAAATATTTCTGGTAGAGATGGGAATTCTAGTTCCTTGGGAGGAACTAGTTCCTCCAAAGGAATAGTTCCTTGAACTAGGTCTTTAGTTCACAATAGTTCCCGACTAACATTGACATCCCCCTTACTTGCTAATGCGTTTCGTTGTCAGTCAAAACTATTCACAGTATGATCTGTCTAAATTTTATAATGTACGGAGATATAACGAGACGTGTAATTGTGTATATTAAAAACATATAGGTAAGTTTTATAGTAGATAAAAAAAATAAAAAAAAACTCAAATCAGAATTTAAAAAACTATATCACAAATCAATTGGGGCAAATATTACAAAAATTTTACGAAAAATTGCATTTTTCCTCACTTCAAGCATTTTTTTTTGTCAAAAAATTCAGGATATCTACTTCGTTTTATAAGATATTTCTTAATTTTAGAGACCTAAAGTGAAACATTCCCATAAAATATTTAAAAAACAAACTAAAAATCAAAAACAGTATCCACGACAATTTTCTGTGGTAATTACGCCGCGCCGGCTGTGGCAATAGACAAGGCTGAATCCATCGTCGTCGCCTTGTATTATATCTCGGATCTGCCGACTGAATAGATTCCCGTGAACTAGTCTTTTAATAGTTACTCTATGTCCGGATCCGATAACATACGGCTGGCACTCCTCACGCCTGCCTAGCATCAATCGCGCTGGCTGATCCATACTTAAACTAGTCTTTTATTTAGTTCCTCTAGTTCCTTTAGGTCCGGATCCGATAACATAAGGCATACGGCTGGCACTCCCCACTCCTGCCTAGCATTGATCGCGCTGGCCCGATCCGTTTGTACGTACACTAGTCTTTTATTTAGTTTGGTTCCTCTAGGTCCGGATCCGATAACGTACATCTGGCACTCCCCACTCCTGCCTACCATCGGGCTACGCGCGCTAGCCGATCCGTCGCCGTCGCATATTATTCTATATCGGACACAGTCTCGATCCCGGAATACGTCCTGAGGAACTAGTCCTTTGAGAAACCAGGAACTAGTTCCTTTCATTCCGGGGTCGGAATAGTTCATTGGAACTAGTTCGTTCACAAACTACACACCTCTAATTTCTGGAAATATTTCGTGAAACATTTCGCAAAACATTTGTTAAAATAGTACGATAAATATAAGCTCCTGTTATAAAAATTAGTTCCCACATTTCTTGGAATTGATTGAGACCCGCCGTGATTGGTTGTTTGTTTTTTATTGTTAACCCAGATTAACAATAAAAAACAAGCAACCAATCACAGCACGTCTCGATCAATTTCAGAAAACGTGGGAACTAATTTTTATAACACGGGCTTATATTGTCGTGTTCTTTTGTAAAATAGCACGAGGCAATCAAGGTCAAACGTTGTTTTGGCTTCAGAAAAATAAGTAAACATGAAAAAACTGATATAAAAACAGTTACCGATGGTAAATTAAATTGGCTATTCCTCGAAGGTTACACAATAATATTTAGTTTTAATCATTGAAAAAAAAAACAGTGATTAACTAGCGGTCTACCATTATTTATCGGCTTATAATCTACGGTATTGCGCCTCATGAACAAAATATACACAAAATTATTAAATCGTCTAATTATTTATTATCTCTGGTTATGATAAAGTAACATTTATACTGTAGTATGTAGCACAGTTTAGTTTACGAATTTGGTGTTGTTTTAACGAGGCAACAAAAAACGTCAAAAAATCTCTCTCGCCCTCCTCACGAGTAGTTTTCAGGCGCTTTTAAGAATTGAAAGTAGGTCGAAGCAAACCGAAGTGGGTCAAGACAACTGGAAATAAATCGAAATGCGACCTTGATATGTTTCGAATTGTTTTTGGCATAGCGTGTACGCTGTTTAAGACTAAACAGGAAATTTTTTTGCGGTCTTGTATTTTTCTCCCGTTTATGTGATATAAGAAATTACTTATTTGTTCAAAATTATTTTATTCATTTATTACAAATAGTATTTTGCACACTATTGCATACAATTGTAAAGAAAAATCCTGATTTGTTATATTATATTGAAAACTAAAAATATTCGTCCGAAAAATATTCTAATAATTTCTTTCTTTAAAATTTTGTTAGCATTAAATTACTACAAATACATTTTTATTCAAAGGTTTTCTATGTAGAAAGTAAAGTAAAAATCTATTATAAAAAAGCTTACAACATTCTTGCAGCAAGACCAAGAATAAAGCCAAGACTGGACCCTGCAAAAGAAAGACCTATAAAGTCTGGTCTTGGTCTTGCTTTTGCTGATCGCTAGTCATAAGCCGACATGCTAGGTATGAATAAGTTTTGTGGTTTTGACATGATCTATTATTGTCACTTATATGAAGAGGTTGGCTATTTAAAGTAAAATTCATGAACTGGCGTGTAACATATAGACTTAAAAATAACAATAATATACCTAAATACTTAAACAATTTAGATATTTTACTCAAAACAATTTTTAACAAATATATCTAATTAATATTTGAGCTACTTGGTGAGACTATGATTGATAATCTATCTTTACAAATATTGATACTAGTCCCATCTATTTTTGCTTAATTTTATCATAGTTCAAAATAACAAATGAGCGAATTATATAAAGCCCAGCTCAAATTTATAGGAAGGATAAATCTTGCCTAGCAAATTTATCGCTCAAGATTAAGTTTTCTTTCATGATGATAACGTTATTTCTAGTAATGGTTCTGTCTGAATGTAGATTAAGTTTCTAAGTGCGGCAAGGCAATCTATAGAAACGAATTTTATTTGCGCTAATGGTTTTGACAGTGAGTAAATATAATAGAAATCACGAAAGATTATTTTCTTTTAGTAGTTTTTGTTGGTTGTACAAAATGGAGAACGAGAGAAAACTATCGATGAACAACTGAGTTATTTAATTTTGTCTGACGTTTGTATAGGCTTCCGACTGCAGCGCTCGATAAGGCAGAAATCAGAAGTTTTCGGCTCTGTATTTCACGTAATTTCTATGTTGATAGCATTGAATTAATTTTAAATGTAAAACGTGACTTTGTCATACTACTTAAGTATTTGAGTTTTTAATAGTGCAGTTATTTAAACTACAAAACAAGGTACGAGGTTTGTGTGATGTAACGCTATTTAGGGTAGTAAAAATTAAGTGAAAAAGAATCCGAACTGGGCGTCGCTTTGTGTTGTGGCAATTTCAAATATAATGTAATAAATGAGTTTAATAAAATTATCGAAAAAATGCTAACACGTAAAAGAGGGCGTAATTACATGGTTGTTGGGTGCAATGACATTATTTAACAATAACTAACTTTCCTGGATATTCAACTCCCCCGAAGTAACTCAAAAGTTTTATAGCTTTACAACTCCGATTACACCGATTTGATCAAAGGCAAAAATGAATTCAAGCAGCTCGACGAAACAAGTGAATAAAGTACTCACTACAAAAAAAATTAAATAGACATATACTATGAGAGTACGAGAGGATAAATTATACTTTGTAATATTAATGGTATACTTCTTTGAATCAACTAGTGCTTGCATTTTGCATTGTAGTTGCAACTAGTGCTTGCAAATTATAATTATTTATCTTTAAAAAAATCTTTATAACCGAAATAGCCCCAGTTTTACAAATTGTAATGATGTATAATTTCCTTTTTAGTAGAATATATTTTATTTATAACATATACTTTTTGTCGCCATGTATCAAGAAGATCTCTTTCTTGAAACTCACTTTCTAAGAAGATGTTTTT